TTCATTTTCCGAGGTGACCCCCTAGAGGTGTATCTGTGCCCCGTACAGTATTATGTACATAAGGTCCTTGTCATGAGACATCACTACACGCTGAGTGTCATGTGGGTCGGTGCTGTATTACGTATTACGAATGGCGGTGCAGGTGTGCGTTGACTAAGTGAAAATTAAGCTCTTAAACTAATCACATCCCAAAGCTTTAGTAGCGCAACTTATGTTGTACCTGACCTGCATGCTGTGCATTTTGCCTTTTCTGAATTTGATGAGCGTTTTGTTACTCATTGTTAAATGGTAGTGATGTCGTCGCTGTGCGCGACAATGCGTGATCTTCAATCACAAACGTCTCAACCAATCAGATGCACCCAGAACTTGACGAAAACATATTACATTGTCAGTAGCTCCTTATCATGAGCTGAGTTGTTCTGTTCAGCATCCTTCAGCCGGCGAGACTCAAAACCGACTACGAATTCATGTCCATTTGCATGTGCTTGAGGCAAAAGACAGCCTATTACAAAGTCTGTGGCGCCTTTTACAGCATTAAACGGTCCATCTAGATTTGGGAAAGTCCGAATTTAGCACGCATGTAACTTTTTGACAGCCATAAGATCCACCTGTTTCGCCGCACCCCAGCATCTTTCAGCATTCATTTTAAGAGAAGTGATGAGGGTGGTACCATTTCGGGAAAATTAAGCTCCACTTGTTTAAGTAGATGGTTGAGCCATTTTCTCAGTTTCATTTCGACAGAAATACTGGTCAAACTACAATGGTCGTCATCTTCGAGGGATCCGCCTGCAGAATCTAATATCCAATAAAGTAATCCACAAAGGAAATTATGTTTGGCGCTAAAAATACACGTGTCTTTATTATTCAAGTGCATAAAGTCGGACACCACTAGTAAATGTTCAATGTGGTTTTCACATCCGATTTTTCCGTACTCTGCACGACATTGTACGATTAAAGCGTCAGAATAGTTCCGTGTAATGATGTGTTCTGAACAGCTGCCCATCGCATAATCAGCTATACCATAGCATCCTGCTCAAAGCACTAATCATAGAGAGGGATATTGCTTCGTCTTTAGCGGTTGCCTAAACAATTAACTCAGTCGAAATATTAAACCAATTGCTGCTGACCATGCTGTTCTGCATTACACCGTACCGATAGACGCATGCACACTTCACCTCTTGTCGTTAGCCTATCTGGTACAAAGCGCTATCGCCGATTTGGGGTTCTACTCTCTCATACACAACCCGCCTCGCGATTCACACAGAATACATCAATGACGTCACATCGTCCGCTTGATAAGAGTAATTGCCATGTGATGCAGTATTTGGATCTGGAATCCATTCGACTTTATGACGAACTCTCCTGTCCGGGGGTATCTTTTGCCACGACGTCTTAAACATTCTTTAACAAAGAAACTGTCATAGGAGCTTAAAGGAAGCCGTCCTACTACTCGCACCCAGTGCTCTGCTGGTGTTCTCAATGACATATGTAGTCAACGATAGATCCGTTTTTTGCGGATCTATCGGCATCGGCCGTACTATTCGATACTTCACCTTCTTGTGATTCCTCGCACACATTCAATATTTCCGGCTATAAAATAGCCTTTGCCGGATATAGTGAGGAGAGACCGAAAATCCCCCGATCTAAACTTTTCGCTCCGATCGCGAGTGGAGATTATTTTCTGCCATATACTCGTGAGACCTCACTGCTCCGATCGGTAGTGCTGACTCAGCAGTGCCGCCATATCGATTCAGAAAACCTATATATTTATATCTTCATGAGCCAGACCTTATACTCGCGACCGACAGTCTGAACTTCGCCGGCTTTAGCGAGAGACGGGCACCTAATCACAGGAGACAACTGTCAGATATTTCCAGCCGTTCCACCAGAGAAACACTCAAAGACCACGGGAGTAAGTCGTCCTTTTTCGGTTCGACAGAACTATTTTCTTGAGGACTATCACTTGATAGCTCAGATTTCTTCGTTTTTACCAACGAGCTCTTCTCGAGACACAAAACCATTGCTATCAATGTCTACCAATCCCGCGCGCTACTACAGCTTCATGCTCGAACCAAAACGCTTGGTGGGTGTAAAGGGGTTACACGTACCCTGGCATAAAAGTGTGGGTCACACAAGATTGTTTGACCATACAACAGTGTGGGTTACACAAGACGATAAAATCACACAATGGTGTGGCTACACCTTAACAAGAAGTCAGTACGTGGCTGAACTGCCGGTACTTATGCATTTTAATTTGATTTTACTATTTTTAAATAAGAGACCGGTGAATTTAGATATAGGCAGCTGTGGCGTAGATGAATCAGGAAATACAGTTTAATTTTTGGTCGGAAGAACATATTTGCCTTGAGTTGAGGTTGTGGGTACTCTTGGAGATCCGCTACGGTTCTAGGAACTGAACGAAAGTCACAGACCTTAGCTTAGCTGAGGCTAGGCATAAGAACTACGGCAGCCCCGCTACAGTAGGGGCTCACGACTCGCTAATGATTTGCCAGATGAGATGTACGCGGTACCTCAATTTTTCGACTTTCAATCGGCCCATGGCTCGTCGTGTTTAATCTTCGCCGTAAGATCTCATCTTAATATCAGATTCTGTACTATTTATCGTTTCACGCTGTCGAAATCCTCACACTTTAATTGGAGTTTAAACAACACTTTTGAATCATTAACTGTCATTCGTCGCACAACGCACGGGAATTGTATCCACAATTAACATAATTAATGTCTTTGTGTGCTGCCAACCCTTTTTGGCAGTCGTGTGCAGTACGTAATTTCCCGATGCACCAGAAACTATCATGCTTTTCGGCTTCAAAGATCCTGGCCCGATGATGTCAACGACCAACAATTCTGGGCAGATTGTCCCTCCTCTGTTTTGGAAAGTTGCTCCTTCATGAACTAGGTCTATTGACCACAAGCTCCACGGGGTGAATTAAGCCACTGAGACTTGACGATTTTTCTTGGTGGTGATTCGTCATCCGCCCTTGAGTGTGAGTCTCACCTTTTTGACCATTCAGCCAAGAGCGAACGGCGAATGCAATCATACAGATGAAGCAATCGCGCGTACCACATAGCTATACCAACTGAGAGATCTCTTTATTCCTCTGCAGAATGGCAAAAAGCCTCGCTTCTGGCATACTCACTGATTTCACAGTTTCCCATTCACTCCTCACGGTGCGAAGATTGTACTCCGTAATGAAAACGACACTAACAGCTTCTTTGAGCACAATGTTCTGAGCGGATGGATATGCTGTGATCCGCACCCGTTCGAAGACCCTCTCCAAAAAAATAGCAACCGTTACAGTCTCCGAGAGAGGTTCTGACGCCAGTGCGGTATAAGAGCTCTCATTAATAGTCTGACAGCCCAAGCTTTTCTAGACGGGTGGACAACAGTTGTGGGTGCTTCCGATATGCCTGATTAGGCGGTGTGAACACCAACGTCATTGAAAGGATACTCTCCCTTCGAATGAGGGAAGATAAGAGATGACAATAGATTTGATGATGCTCTAAAAGAAGCGACAGCGCGTTTCGCTTGCGATCTTCAGGTCAGACGCCCGTGCGCGGTAATGAGATTAATGTGCATTACCTCGGTGAGCGAAACATTCCCAGCGCGGAATTTTGAAAGCAAGAGTCCTCTCCTTGAAATGTCTAGCGCTGAGCATAAGTTTTTCATGATTAGTCGCCTACCAGGGCCGGAAGTGTGGCGCTCCTGGATATTTCTCGCTAGCACATTCTCAAAACTTGTGATTGCTTCCAGGCGAGCAATAACCGGTTCCGGTTTGTTGGCCGTAAGCTTCTTGTGTGCTAATACGTACAAGGAAATTACCGGGCACTTTACACAGCGGAAGATTTGACTCTAAAAGTCGCGTTGAAAAACGCATATATACTGTTGAGTTCGTGCGGAGTGGAACTGAGAGTTCTTGATGATTCTTTAGCTCTGCTATCTGATGCGTATATATCTTTTTAGAACATTCTTAAGTATAAACACTTTACTGTCTCTTCTAACATGTGTCTTTAGTTGCTGACTTACCTTCCTACACCATGGATCTTTCCTTTTTAGAGCATCATCATCTTCATTAAGATCAATACCTCGGTACTTATAAATATTCATAATTGCACCAATGCGCAATGTAAATTTTAAACAATTATACCGTAATGTATTGAATCAAATATGTATGGAATGAGAACATAAGATCTCAGATTTTTTAAACATTTTCTACAACAACCCCGATGTAGGTTGCTATTAAAATCTTTTAGTTACGTAAAATCTGCAATTACTACGATATCACTGCATCCGCAATGACCACTAAACGACTTCGCAATTGGTCAGACGCTTAGCGATTGTTACTCCTGCTGTACCAAAAGACTTAATCTGTCGACGATACTTTAAGAAATGGCAAAATTTGAAAAACCCACACATTCTCAACCACTTGTAAAATGCCGCCTCCACTGCCAGGTAAACCGAACTCAGACATAATCTACAACCTAGGCTTGTCGTCTCAGGTCCTCGTCCTTTGCTGTGCATTTAAGCCCGCACTGTCAAGCAACAACCACGTCTCATACTAGCAAAAGATTTGTTTTCTTAATTGTCATGCAAGATTATGAGCTGATATCAAAGGGTATTAAATTTGGAGTTTAGATGTCTCTATCAGTCTATATAAACTTATATTGCGGTGGGAGTCTAATATTTCTTACCACACCACATAACAGGTGTCGCATTTATCACTACCTAATCATGCAGCTCGAAAAATAGAACAAACTCAGATAGGTCACATAAACGGATCAGCGAAATGTTAACTTCATGAGATGATCCTCACTGACAACACGCAGCTGAATGGCTATTAAAACATCTTTCAATCCCACATTCAGAGATCCAACCGCCATTCTACACGTGCTAAAACTTTCAACAACAATACTAGCGTGCCGATATAAGGTCTTAAATATACTAACATAATCTCTAACGTGGTGATGTCGCTCGCGATGGTCTACAAACTGGAACTTGATAACGATGAGTTGAGATCTCGCACATGTACAGCTTCTGCGCCGTGTGTGAAAGCAAGGGCGTCAGCAAATTCTTCGTCTGTCTGATGCTTTTTTCTACGTAAGCGCATAGCCACAAGGATCACACAAATTAAAGCTAATGCCGACAAAGTGATAATAGTGACCAGGGTTCCTGTTCGAATGCCGGTGGGCGAAGCACGTGACATCGTTTCGCAGTTGCCTGATGAACAATCAGAAGGGGTTTCATCCAAAATAGCACCAGCTGACTGGTCGGTGCTGTTGTCAGAATTGTCGGTTAAGTTGGCTGAAGAGTTGTCCGTGTTGTCGTCAACAGATCCGCTGTTATTGATCAATCCGTCTGTCGACGAGGAATTTGATGACGGCGTTGAACGTGGTGCAACTTCACACTTTTCTCCTCTATAACCATTTTCACATGTACACCCAAGTACTGGCGTTCCATTTGCCATTGTCTCCATCATGTTACATGAGCCTTGACCATTACATTGCACTCCGTTTACACTGCAACCGTCTACCATTTATGCGATCACAGAAGATTAGACTTATCATCGATTTAGAATAGTTCAAGTGAGTTACTTACTACTACAAGATGCTCCTCCGTAATATGCATCGCATCGGGCAATCGACACACACTTATAAATGCCTCTTCTGCCATTTAAAATAGCGCAACCATCCCTGCAATCGTCATTTGGTCTCCAGAGGCAAGCGAGTTCACCTCCATCGTCAGCGGGACAGTTGCCCATTGACTGACCTCCACATACTGTCGGCGGAACACAGGACTGGACGGACGTTTCAGAGTCACCAGCAACGCAAGTCTCACCCCAAGCGCAGTCTGCCGTAGTGGAGCAAGTAACTGCAGTTTGCTTAGCCCATACAGAGCCATAAAGACTCGTGAAAAACACAATTAGTTCGAAAAGTCGCATCTTCAAGAAAGTTTAATTCTGGAGGGTGTTTGATACTGAAGTTGGGCTATGATGATCGAATTAAGCTCTACAGCAGAATCGACACGGCTCAACGAACATATAGAGTCTGCACATGCGAAATACTAAGCACTAGTCAGCGCAGTAAAACATGGAAATGATGCAGAAACCAGTCCCATCAAATCTTGTATTTAGCCTGGAGTACGTCATGACCACAGGCCTAGCATTAGTTACATGTGCTGGAAGGTGCCTACACAAGTTAACGACTTATATTCCGGTACAAAAAAACGACGGAAAGCGCGACGTCAGATGTTCGACTTCACGACTTTTGGGAACAAAAGTCAATGCAAACTGTTAGTACACCAAAACGAATACATGTAATTAAGGCAAAAATGGGTCAGGACTAGCCTTTCTTGGTGTTGGCACTGGTTCGTTCGAAATATAAAAAAGTTTAATTTTCAATTCACCAGTAAGGCGGCCAGACGATATGTTGTATCCAACAAGTTTCGAATCATTTAATGACCTATTCGTTACTCACTGTGATATACAAAGTACGACACAAAATTTATTTAATACGATCTGCGATGAATTATTCATCTGAAGTCTATTAATTTTCTGCTTTATGGCGAGGAAAATTTGTACACAGACAAACCCGAAATCCCTTGGAAGCTCATTCCCACCATGAGGTCTTTATTTGTAGGTGACTTGACAGCTTTTCGCATCTCTCTCGGCGTTTCTTAGTAATGTTTTTACATTATATTTCTTATACCAAAACGTTATAAAACATCTGAGCAAAACGCATGTCGTAAAGCTTACGGATGTTATTATTGTGGCTTAAAATGAAAATCCATACAAAGCTGCCATCATTTGACTAAGCTGTATGATAGACTGCTACTTAGAAATACGCAATTTTGATTGGCCAAAATTTTGATGAGAGGGTTTCGCGTATAATTTCTAGTAACCAGCCTACTCTTAAACGCAAGAGTATTTGGTACCGGCTCATTAGTTATCCTTATTGGTTATCAAACATGTTCTAGGCTAGAATGGGCAAACATCCGAGAAAATAACATAGAAATAAGACTAAGTATCTGTAAAAGAATCTTGTTTGCCTTTACAGGACAGAAAAAGTTACAGAGTATCATGCCACGATCAACTATAAAGCAGAATGGCTATAATCTGGCAGCGCACCAGGCGTTGGTATGAAGACTTACAAGTTAGACTTGCAGCTAGCTTGAAGAAACCTTTGTTTAATTTGTGTTTCTCACCAAATCGAAGTGGTTAGATTTTTACACTGCGCCTAGAGGAAGTTTAAGGCTAGTCTTCAATATACGAACAATAATGTAGCACGAATGTTCTTAGCACTTTAATTCTTCTGACACATTGGAAAAACCGCCTATTCTGACATCGTGGACATGTTCAGCAGTCTAATTTGCTTTCGGATCGTAGCTAAAAAAGCTAACATAGTTTGTTTTAATAAGGTCAGCTCTAATTTTAACAAACCTCTTTCGATAGTAATTTATCTTGGGTATTTTTTGCAAGCATGGACTCCCCCACCTTTAAAGCCCTCGTCGATGCTTCCGTAAGTCCATCACATACGCTCCCACACTATACCGTACCCACACAGCCTTAAGCTCAACAATATCTCTGTGTTTACAGGCTGGTGCGATGGGCGCACTGTTTGCAGCTGTGTTGCTATACCCACTAGATGTTGTAAAAACAAGGATCCAAGTGGATGTAGACAACATCAAAGAGGAGGAATCAGAAGAGCTTAAGGAAAAAACTATGAAGCTTCGTGAAAAGAGCGCACGTAGTATGCTTGTGTTTGCATGGTTTATTTATCGCCAAGAAGGATTTGAGGGTCTCTTTGCCGGCCTCAGCTCGAAGATTGTGCATACAGTTTTATCAAACTTTGCATACTTCTATTGGTACTCATTCCTCATATCGGCAGTTGAGAAACACTTCAAATTGCCTACTACTACGGGCATGAGTCTTCTTGTGGCCTCCACCGCTGGAGCGCTTAACATGTCATTGACACTTCCTTTAGAGATGATTAATACACGGGCCCAAATTGAGTTCTCTGGTGACAAGGACGAAACTAATGGGCCACGCCAACGCACTTTGATTGGTATCGCAAGGGAGATATACGCTGAAAATGGCCTTAGGACTTTTTGGAAAGGATTTATCCCATCATTAGTGTTGGTGAGCAATCCGTCCATTAATTACACGATTTTTTATAAGCTTAAGCTTCAGCTACAACAATTCAAGATGGCAGCAAACAATACTAAACGCGTGAGCTCACTGACAGCGTTAGAGGCGCTTATTTTAGCGGCTTTTGCAAAGGCAGTCGCTACAATCATCACTTATCCCATAATTCGGGCAAAAGTACTTATCCAGGCGCAAACGAAGCCAGGTGATGGTCGCCAGCAACAGTTGTATGGTCATCATCAACCTGAAAAGTGCAGCTCGATGTTGCATATGCTCAAGCGTATCAATGAACTAGAAGGCTTTGCTGGATACTTTAAGGGTTGCTCGGCACAATTGTTCATTACCGTCTTAAAGAGTGCTCTTCTGGTTATGACGAAGGAGCAAATAGCCAAGTATACTACACGTATTTTATGTGCTTTGCACCGAAACACAAGGCAGACGGCTATTGAGGCTGCTAAAGCATGATAGCTTAACTAACTATTTCTATATGCTTGTGAATGATCAAACGGTTGTACTCGTATTAGCTCTATTTTTTTTGTTATGATGCTAGCAAACTAACGAAATCACAATTGATAGGCACTCACAATTGATGGGTGAAAGTTTGACAGAATATTGGGCGGAGTGACGGATAAGCACTCTCTTTCTTTTCAACTGGAGGTCACGGATATAAGCGATAATGTGCGTATTTGACCTATCGATAAATTACCGCGTCCAAGGGTAGCGTGGTACGCTCGTCATCAAAATGAGCAAAACTTGAAAACCAGGTGCTCTCTACAAACGAGTTTCGAGTAGATTCGTCTGTAGATGAGGGGATTTCAATGGGCACGAGATCTAGCTCGCTTGTTCGGAAGCTAGTGACTGATGAGCTTCTTCTCGTAAGACGGCGCTGGTAACTGGTTGTAACAGTAGGCGAAATTACTTGCGTAGCTAGCCCTCTATACTTCGGGCCTGGGTCTTCAAGGGGACGACCACGAGTTGTGAGATCCTCGTTAACCATCAGAAATTTTCGAATATATTCCAGTACAAGACACTTAGAGAATTTTTTACCGCCCCATTCTGGTAAGCCGTCATCATCATCCTCATCCCCTAGCAAACCCTGAGTAGTCTCTAATAAGAATCGCATGTAGCTATCCAATCCTTCCGTCCTTAAGGTGTGGAATCTTTTTTTGGAGAATCCCAGACTTGACTGAAAGATGTGACGGCTGGGAAAGCGAAGGCGATTGTAGTAGTTCAAAAGCTCCTTGCATGCGCTACAGTTTGCATGTAGTTTACCACCAGTTCTGCTACACTCGCGCTGCAGCGCATAATGCAACTCGCGAAACTCGGAATAACGCTTGGCCACATACCAGTCCGCGGTACCGCTGCGGCTCACTTGCAGCACATAGAGTGTAGGTCGACGATGTGATTGGTACTCGCGGCCATATGAAACAATCCTGGCGGACACAGGACGCAGTGTGCATGAATAAAAGATAGACGAAGTGCGACTTTTAGCATCCAAACTTGACATGGCAAGTTACAAATTGAATTGCAACGTTGAGGTTGAGGTGGAGAAGTGCGCATCATCAGCTCGCATAAACAACTATACAATAATAATGGCATTTGGACTACAGAAAGCTCTATACTATCGGCATGATTGCTCTTACATGCTTTACTGGGCACAGTGCTACCACTGGTGGGTACAAATCTTTCTTTCAGGGCGATATCCAAATCGTCTTCATAGGTATTGAGTAGTACTTCAAACAAATGACGTATATATTGCATCCATGATAGCCAAAGCACCAATCTTTTTTAAGGTTAGTGTTCAGTATGTAAGACACACGTTTCAAGATGCACGCTTCAACAGGGAGGAGATCTATACAAGCCATTCGCCTTAGGTGTCTAGATCGCCTCTTTTGAAATACATTAGGACTGACTAGTAACGTAGGCTATAATGCGAAATTATATTTTGCGGAAGAAATTTCAAGTTTTACATCACATCAGCGATGAGACTTGCTGATTGTGACGCCGCATATCTCAACCATATATAAGAAATGAAAAAGTCGAGTGTTCCAATGCAAAGCATGTACTTCATGTATCGTCGACTACGACACGTTCGAATACTTACTGATTTGCTCGTGGTAAAAAGAGATCGCTGAGGTATGCTATCGCAAACGGCAAGACGGATCGCAGCGACTTCTTTTTAACAAGAATCATGCATGTTTTTGTTCTATATTATGCGCTTTTTCTGACACAAACGCAATGCCGTGTGTTTAAGATATGGTAGTATACTAATTTGTTACTATGGGGGAACTATTTTCTTTTATCTTGCAAGAACTTACAGAAGCTGTTCGCATAGCGCAGTTGTAGTGTGTTTTCTTTGCAAGCGGACCTAGCCAACACATACAGGCGCTGCGTCCTGGGCAAACACATAAGCGTGGTTTGGAAGTGTCAAATCTGGGGTTGAGGGGCGTATTCAAGTCGCCGAGAACGGTGTGTGTTGCATTGCTTTTGAAACGATCCACTGAAAGAAGGTCGAAGAAAACGGCATTGTCATGATCGTCCACTGGCGAGTATACGTTGTGTATATGCACGGGAGCATTGGCGACTACCAGTTAAACGACCAAATAGCGTCTTAATACAGTCACTTCATAGCTGTGTCGTAACCTGGAAAACCAGGGCGTATCACAGCGATCACACCGCCAGATCGGTGTGTTGTCTGGAAGCACTGGCCATGTCAGGGTCACTGCCGAATAGCTTGCGTTTCAGACGGGATTGAAACTTGAGCTGAAAAGTCTCAAGAAGGTGGAAATCGCGAAGTTCGGCTTCTTCGATGCAAGAAAGGCTAAATTTTGCAAGTAGGTGATCAATGAGCAGATGCCCATTGTTCTTGATTCCATTGGTGTTGACGGTCAACAAGCTGACGTCTTGCCATGACACTTCAGGTGCATCTAAGCGTGGGGTCACCTAGTAGTTCAGCGCAAGCTTTCGGGTCGTAAGCACAAATTGGCCGTCAGTTTGCTGGGGTTGCAACACTTTTGCATTCTCTGGGAAGAAGCGGTCGCATTCCCGAAGATACCCAGGGTAATCAAGTATATCTCCTTGCTATTAGACCTTTTCATGGATTTTAGAGCGGTGAATGCCGATCTGTGAGCGAAGCAGGACCAACAACATATTGGGGTGCAGCAGACCTCTTTTGCGTGCTAGGATCAAGGTACTGACCATCCTGTCAGACGCTGAAGCCAATAATCCTTATCAAAGGTCATGGGCGCTGTGCACACCAGCATCATCTCGAAGAGCGAAAGAGCTCTGGTTGCACGCGTTTTGATCGCTGTATTCGAGTTGTCCCACCATGAGGCTAGACATTGAATTACATCATCAGGTGTCTTAGGAACCTTGGTGTCGACATACTTGGCCCATTTGCGT